GCAAACCGAGATGCCTGGGCTTAGGGGTTAGGGTCTAGGGGTTTAGGGGTTTAGGGGTAAGGCTTTAGAGATTTGGGATTGAAGGCTCTGGGGCTGTGGATCTGAAGTTGGATTTCATCTGGGACTTTTTCGAGTTGAGCTTCAGGGCTTCCCGTCTTTTCCTCAAGGCGTATGGGTTTAGGGTTTAGGGTTTAGGGTTTACGCCGTCTACACCGTGTCAGCTGTAGCAGGCAGGTGCGAATGCACGCAGAGCCGCTTGGGGGGTGAGAAAGCAAACTGAGGCTTGGGAGTATGGCTCTGGGAGTTGTCTATCATTCTACCAGGTCACATGCAATGGCAGTGAGACTCGAATGCTTCAGGGAGGTTCAGGGCTTAAGGTTCCAGACTTCGGGCGCTGCTGCATGCAAGACTGTGTGTTCCACAGACTCAACCCGTTGCTAGCACGGTCAAAACTGATGTGCTGCCGCCGCGGCAAATCACTCTCGCCTTCCGCGGGAGGCAGTGCAACAAGAAGTGAAGTCACAGCCCAGCATTAAAGTTTATTGTAGTATGCCATGGCGAAGTCTAGTACATTCTAAAATAATCGAGTGCATCACAGAACATTTTGTCGCAGATTCTTCTAAATCTTCGCATCGTCAGGTATATTATTCACTCCGAGCCCGCGACAAATTCATTGCGCTTCTGCCGCCGTCGCACTCGGCGATGGCGACCTGCAGGCAACTATGATCGTATAATCGTATATACCATAGTAAAGCTCGTATACTTTGGTATGCTATGCTATACTATGGTATAGCTCAGTATATACGATGGTACAGTACAATAATGGTATACTTATAGTACAGTATATCGATTAAGCATGGCATAGCTGGCTCTAGGAAAGATGTCAAAGTGAAAAATCGTACCCGAAACAGAATGCAATGTCAAAGAGAGCAAACCCTCTTCACCTTTTGGGGGCATACTCTAGTAGACATATATAGGGACAAACTCCAAAAAACAACAACAACAACATGACCAATTAGCCCGGCCCCACCAGCCAAAGGAGCTGAGTCCAGCACATCTGTTGCCACGGAGACTCACCACCTCGCCCTCGAGACCCATCTGAGGAGCCTCCAACAGGGGTGCTTGCTGCCGAAAGCGACTTCTGCTAGACTTGCCTAGTCGTTGATGACAAACGGTATGAAACATTGCTCATGTACTGGATTCGTTGCCCTGTTGGCGGCGGTGCCGGCGGAAGACTCTTGAGGCCACTTTATCCATGCCTTCATCACGAGATCCTTGATAGCGATGTCCGGATCGCCCCAAAGGTTCGTCACCTGCAGTGATGTGCAGAGATTTGTCGGGGTCGAAGCTTGCTGTGACAGCAGCATTGAAAAATGAGACCCCAAACCCTAGACCCTTCGCCGCTTCTGAAGCCGGAAGATCGTAAGGACAATGCACAGACACAATCGAACTGTAAATATGGTTGAAAAAGCGTGCACATCGAGAAGCCTTCTCTTTCTCTGTGATCCGACATCTAATTAAACGAGATGAACATGATGGTGATGATGGTGGTGGTCCCTTCACCATAACCATCATCATCATTATCATCATCATCAGCATCATGCTTGACATTCCTAGGACAGAAGCCGACTGGAAGTTTCCCAGCGGGAATTTCGACGCGAAAGCTTTTACCACGCACAGGCTCGCACGTGCGGTCCACAGCTCAAGTGACACAATTAAAGGTGCGCAATCCATGCCTAGCTTTCCACTTAACAGTCTAATGCAACGACTGCGAATCTCTATGGGGCCATTCGTAAATGCCTGTGACAACCACAACTACAACCAGTTGCAGGAATCCTTTGTTGGACGAACCTCTTGCAACAAGAAGAAAAGACACCAAGCATACTTCCAGACGGAAGGGATGCACCGCGTTCAGTCACAGCCAAACTACCCACTTGTGCTGCTATGAGCTGATCCTTGCCCTCTGTACCTCAGCAACCCCTGACCCAAACCCTAGCATGCAAAGCACGAGCCTGTGACTTGTTAGCCGCACGGGTAGCCTGAGCCCGCTGAAAACGTGGAGGAAGGCACGGGCTGACTTGTTGCAGATTGCTGCTCTGATGACTGGCCACTACTTGGAGGCCCTTGGGACTTAGTAAGTAGGTTATAAGTAGAGTTATAGGTACCCTGGAGTTACCCCAACTTATAACCGACTTACTAAGTTACACCAATTATCACTCTACTTGTAACCGACTTACTCAGTCCCCTTGGCCTCCAAGTATATCTCGCGACTGACACTTTGAGGACTACTATGACTAGCCTTGTCGCTGCACCAGTGCCAGGCTCAATCTCCAGTCTGGGACTTGCGACTCTTCGCATCTATGGCAACGTCCCAAGTGAGAGTCGTTCTCTTCTGGAGCCCCTAAACCCTAAACCCTAAACCCCAAACCCTAAACCCTAAACCCTAAACGACCTGTGACGTGAACTCAGCAGCTCCGGGCCCCACACGCGTCCCACCCGGTGCAGGTAGCAGATGGTGTTGTTTGCAAACCTCGGTCGCAACGTAACGAGCTGTGATGAGTTCAATGGTCCAGCTAGCAATTAGGGTTTAGGGTTTGAGGACAAGAGCACATATTGGAATGATCGTCAAAGCTTCTTTTCAAGTAGCCTTCAGGAACCGCTCATGACATGAATGCGATCAGAAAGTGAGCTGCCAGTGCCTTCAGCTTAGCGTATCATATCCCAGGAAGAACAGTTTGCCTTGCTCGCGGGGAAGTCTCAACAAAAGGCCCCTGCGCAATAGACTCCATGCTGTACCATGAAGCCCGCAGTGTACCCTCTGTCCTTAACCTTTCGGGGTATAGGTGAAATGGAAGCTGAGGAATAACTCTCAGGCCCCGTATTCCCGGCTTGCCTGCGGTCCCGGGTTTAACTGGCCCACCTGTTCGAGCTCCTTTAGACAAGAACCCTTCTTCTATCGCGGCGAACTCAACACCAAATGCCCAAAACATGCAACAGCTCCCAATCCATTTCCCTATGCCGAGCCCTACACTATGAAAGCCGCGCAAGCTATACTGAACTTAGACCCCTGGCAAAAATTATAATTTCAGCTGCTTCTTAGGGCTTATAGTAACCAAAGATTAAAAATTATTTCTAAGTGCCCCTAAGCAAGAAACGAGCCCCAAAACCTCCCTCTGCCTCTCTCACTCACACACGCGCGCACAGACACACAAGCCCTGACGCTCCGCGAGTCCAATGTTAGGCACCGGCTCAAACTGCCCCGAACAACATACCAAAACTCCAACATGTCCCACAAACTCCAAGCCATAGGCTCAAAATTGATTCATGCAGTCGGATAACCTTGACTGCACAAGCCTCTTAGACCCAAATGCCTAGGCAGTGATAGTATGCCCTCGTAGTCGCCACATGACCGTTATATACTGTACGCCCAAAACCCTATTCTAATTACCCCGTACAACCCAATGACAAACCTTTAAAACACTGTCTAGCTATCAAGGTCCCTGTGTTGTTCTCCCTATAAAGCCCTGTCTCCTAAAACCCAATTACAAAACCCTAAATCCTACACTCCTAAACTCCTATAAGCCCTATAAAACCTAAACCCTTCAATAGCACCCTTTATAGGGGCCTTAATGCTAAGAACAGGGTTTGGGGTATAATAAGGAGCCCCCAAAACGCTATTCTAGTTATTAAGGCCCCTACACTACTTTAATCATCAAGGCCCCTCTGCTACCCTAGGCCCTGGCTCGAGCTGCACGACATGCTGGCAGATCGGCAGATCGAGTCCTCGCCTTTGCATGGGCCGGAGGTTTGGGTTTGGGGTTTAGGGTTTAGGGTTCAGTTTGATTTTTGGGGCTTTGGGGTTCGGGGTCTAGGTTTTGGGGGTTTGGGGGTTTTGGGGTTCAGGGTTTAAGTTCAGTTGTGTCTGATTTTCTGAGGTTTGAGGGTTAGTTGAGGACTCAGGATTTTAGGGCTGGACGGTTCTAGGGTTCGGGGGAGTTTAAGCTTTTGAGAGCCTCATGCTATGCACTCCAAGCAATCAACTTTCCAGCATATCCAATACACCCAAAACCACCTTGCCCTCAACCGCCCACACCTCAGCCCCAAACCGCTTAATCTTAAAACCCTAAACCCTTAACTCTCTAAACCCTAAACCCTAAGCACTATCTCCGTTTTTCAATCAGCCAGGGCCCAGACGCTCCGAGATCTGTGCAGATCAGCACACTCACCTCACAAAAAAACAAAGCGGCAAACAGGACTTGTGGGACTGTGCGCGTTTGGTTCATAGAGCTCCAGAAAGGCTCTAATCATTCTACTACTGCTTTTCCGATATTTCCCTAAACCCCTAAACCCTAAACCCCTACCCCCTATACCCGTAAACCACTACTCCACTGCTTCTGATTGAGCCCGTGAGGGAAACCGGTCGGATGGGGGTGCGGCAACAAAGCCTCGGAGCTTGCTTCAGAGGACTCCGAGTCCCGTCAACTGTGCAGACTTTCAGGGCTCGGGGAGGGTTTAGGGTTTAGGGTTTAGGGGATTAGGGGTTTCAAGAATCTGTAACTAGAATAAGTTGGTGCTGTAGATTTTGGGTTTCAAGAACCCGTCACTTGGTTCATGGTGGTGTTCGGAAGAAGAAAGGCAGTATCTTAATTCCAGGGTGGGAAAGCTCCACATCTGGCGAGATTATACACAAAACCCAAAAGCCTAAACCCAAACTACTGAAAGAGCTTCCCAAGAAAGGCCTAGACCCTAAAGCCTAAACTCCTAAACCCTAAACTCCTAAACCCTAATGCCCTAAACTCCTAAACCCTAAACTCCTAAATATATATATATATATATGTATATACCTAAAATGGCCTTTTGCTTAGGGCTCCGTCGTTTTTGCGACCCCGAGCTCCCCGCCTCACCCGCGCCGAACTTCTTCAGGCCATCAATGCGCTCTGGGAAGGGCACGCCTGTGTCATCTTGAGTTTAGGAGTTTGGGTTTAGGGGTTTAGGGTTTAGGATATTGGGGTGTAAGAGTTTAGGGTTTAGGCGTTTAGGGTTTACGGGCTTAGGGTTTGGGGTTTAGGGTTTGGGGTTTAGGAGTTTAGGAGTTTAGGGTTTAGGAGTTTACGGTTGGGGGGATGCCACACTTAGGTGTCCACCGCGCCATTGTATACAGTACGAAGGGCAATCATGTGGTCGTGGCACTGCGGGGAAGAACGAGAATCATGGTACCAAGTGGTCAAGGGCAATCATCATGTCAGCAACAGTGATGACTGTATCCCTGAGCCCTAGATCCTGAGCCGTATGATATAGGGGGCCTTAAACGTTGCCTAAAAAAGGGTTTTGGGGTGCTCTGTACTGTACTGGTACTATGCTTCAAGTAAGGAACCACCCCGAAAGCAGTATGATTACTTATTTAGGCCCCTATATCACTCTGATATCCCGCCTGCATGCACGCACGCAACGTCCATGCTTGCCGACTTGCATGCCTGAGCATGGGTTTAAGGCTTTCAGGGGTTAGGGGTTAGGGTTTAGGGTTAGGGTTTAGGGTTTAGGGTTTAGGGTTTAGGGTTTAGGGTTTAGGGTTAGGGTTTATGGATGGGGCGTTCAATCGTAGCTTCTCGCGGCATTTGGGTAGTTCTCTGAAGGAGGGTCCCCCTTTTTGCAAGGGTGCCCTACTATTTTGGGGATCCAGAAGGGGACCCACATTTAGAGAACCTAAACCCTAAACCCTAAACCCTAAACCCTAAACCCTAAACCCCATGTTGAGGGCTTTGAAGTTCAGGGTTCAAGGGTTCAGAAGTCAGGGTTGCGCAGCCTGGGAGCTTCGGGAGTTGTGTAACGTAGGGGCCTTCATAGTTAGAATAATTTTAGGGTTTAGGGTTTAGGGTTTAGGGTTTAGGGTTTAGAGTTTTTGTTTATGTTTTTACTATCACGACAATATTGGAATCCCAAAAGATTAATAGCATATACCAATATTTAAAATAGGGTTTTGGTTTTGGGGTATATATCTAAAAGTACAATATGGAACCCCCCAAAATCTTAACAGCATATAACCGCTTAGAAGGCACGGGATGCAGAAACTGAGCTGACCGCCACCTCAAAAGCAAGGCAAGCCTCAAGGGCAGCAAAGGTGGAGTTCAGAACCCCTAAACCCGAAACCCTTAAACCCTAAACCCCTAAACCCCTAAACCCACAAATCTCTAAACCCGCAAACCCTAAACCCCTAAACCCATAAATCCCTAAACCCTACATCCATAAATCCCTAAACCCTAAACCCATAAATCCCTAAACCCATAAATCCCTAAACCCATAAATCCCTAAACCCATAAATCCCTAAACCCATAAATCCCTAAACCCTAACTAACCCTGAGAGTTTAGGGTCCGGTCGCTTTGCAGCATGTCACTCAGTCGTGCGAGGGAGCACATCGCTGGCTGCAGCAGGCTGAAAGTCGGAAGGTGTTTCATTATGACGCTATAGTATGGTTTAGGGTTTAGGGTTTAGGGTTTAGGGTTTAGGGTTTAGGGCTTAGGGTTTAGGGTTTAGGTACTATATGGTTACTTATAATTATATTACGATAAAGTATGTGATATACTATGTAGTTTATTATGTGTTTTTAATGTCTAGTATGTTATGTACTATATAGCTAATCATATGTTATGCAGTCTAGTATGTTATGTACTATGTAGTTCATTATTTCTATATACGTATTATAGTATGCTGTGGTACATTGTAATATGTTATACACTATATAGTTCTTTATAGATTATGAATTATAGTATGCTGGCATGCTTCAGTACATCATAATACAATGAGGCGCCTCCGGTGTATTCGCAAAGACGATGGTTCGCACGTCCGGACCCTGCCAGCGCCAATGCATGTCTGCAACCCTGTCTTTCGATTCTTACGAACCATGTCACCATGTCAAGTGTACACTCAGTTTAGGGTTTGGGGTTTCGGGTGAGTCTACACCATGGCACGTATGACGCTCAAGAGCTAGGTTTTGGAGGAGTGCCAAACCTACAGGAACAACGACAAGACTTCGTAATGATCCAGCCGCACCTGCGAGTTTCAGAAAATTAGGGTACCTTATTTTGGGGTCCTCATAATAGGGATCCTATTATTTAGGGTACTATATTAGGGTCCCCTGTTTTCGGAACCCCCCCACCTGCTTCTCCAGAATCTCAAGAGCCTTCTGCATGCGGAGCTGCAAGTTCACCTTGCCTGGAGCGAAGAAACAGTTCGCCACCCTCGTGGCCATAGGCCAAACGGCAGACATCCTAAGTCTCGCAACCCAGTCAAACACTTAGCGGTTCCACACAAAGCACCACACCCCTCCCTCTGCGACGAACAGAAAAATGCTGCTAGGGAAAGGCCTGAAGAGGTGAGGCAAGTGAGCCTACTCGTTTTATGTTGAGGTGCTTAGATGATGTCAATTGCGGGGGCGAGAAAATCAGAATCTGCCGAAGTATCCCACAAACACGAGAGAATCAGCCCTGCGCGACCACTCAACGCAATCATTTGCAGGCCTGTGCCCGCCTTTCCACCTTAGCATTCCAGTTTGTGGCAGACAACGCGTCTGAAGGACCATGAAGAACGCTTGTGACTCCTACTCAGCAGGCCGTTCAACATCCTCCTGTTCTCACGAGGTTTGCCAAGGCAATGCATCCCAAAGATTCTGGCCCAAATGTTCCAAGCCCCATACCGTTCTTTCGCGACTCCTCTGGGATGTAGACCCATGCCTGCGATTACGCCATTGCTTCAGCATTTTTCACTTTCATGAACTAGGGCTCGAGGGCACCAGGCTTGGACAGAGGGGTTGGTAGTGCCGGAACGGCATAGCCAACAAGCTGCTTGAAGCATGGCTGCTGGGAAATTCACAAGTTGCCGGTGACAAGTTCGAGTGCGACATGCATCGAACGGCCGGCATGTAGAGGCGAATCCGATTGTGGCAGATGCCGGCGGCCGAAACCATCTTTCCTCAGCATTCCTCTGTTTCATGGCTGAGTACTAATTACTGCAGGGGAGGACACCAGAAAAAAGAACTACTGGGCACGGCGAATGTGGGCGTAGCATAGTGGGCTGGCACCCATCTAGGACACACGCGAGTTCCCCCCAAAAAAACTCTTGCAATTTCTTGCCTACCCTTCAAAAGCGAAACAGTGTCTGGGCCCTGAAGTAGCCGTAAGCCAACAAAGCCTAACACTCGCTTTGTGGCAACAGCCGGTGATTCATAACAACTTTCCGTAAGGGCCTTGATATTAATTAGTGTCCATGTGACTATTACTAAGTATTACTATTGCGATTGCTATTACTATGACTATTACTATTGCTATTGCTCTGACCGAAACCCTAAACCCTAAACCCTAAATCCTAAACCCTAAAACCTAAACCATATTGCTATTGCTGTTAGAGTCTCTGAAGGGCCTCCCTTTCGATGCCGGGATGGCGGCGATGAAGCCACGGGCTCCTCAGTGCGCAGGCGCTCGAACTTTCGTGGGGAGTTGTAGCTTAGGGTTTAGGGCTTTAGGGACTTAGCCATTTGGGGATTTACAGATTTAGGGTTCAGGGTTTAGGGATTTAGGGTTCAGGGTTTGGGGTTTAGGGTTTGGGATCTGGCACTTGAGGGTTTAGGGTACATAGGGCTTTGGGTTTAGAGCTTCGGGCTCAGGTTTAGGGATGTCAGGGGCTCTGAGCAAATGCTATCCTGCAAGTGCCAGTTACTAAGTAATTAGGTGTGCGAAGGATATGGCTCGAATGAAAGCTGGATTCTCGAATGGCGAACCCATTTCTCGTATTCGTAGTTAGAGAGGGGCGCAGCTGCACTGCAGAAATTGTAAGGTTTACAGTAGGGTTGTTGGAAGTTACAAGGGTTATGCACCAGAATGCTGAATTGTCAATGTCCCACCCTCACATTCGGCGCTGGTGGTTTTGAGTTACGTCTCCAAAAACCTCAATGGACACCCTCGGCAATCGACGAAGCACGGGTTGGGGCGCCGGCGCGATCCTGACTGCATTGGGGTACCATCTTTTCATCACCTTGCAGTTCAGGGCACTCCAAACTCGCGCAGAACAGATGGACCGGAACCCTTTTATCACGCAAACCCGAACGCTGACCTCTACAGGGGTTCTATTGCGTAGCAAAAGGGTCGGCATGGGCCAGAACCATACAGGCGTCTCAACACTCAGACTGGGGCTTGAGGCGCATATGATGGTATAGCGCCACAGGGACTATAAGGGGAGACTGCTGTAAGCTGTATTTTGTTGGGATTTAGACTGGGTTAGGCCAGCAAGCAATAATGGTGGTATAATGGGCAAATGGAAGACCTTAAACAATTACTACCATTGTCCCGTGCGGATTTCTTCGGTTTATTGGGAATATAGAGCCCTAAACCTCAACCCCTAAACCCTAAGCCCCTAAACCCTAAACCGTAGCCTAAACCCCTAAACCCCTAACCCCAGAACTGAAAGAGCGCTCAGTCGTTGGGTTCGCAGCCCATTCGACGCTGCCGACACCACTGTTGTAAAACCTCAGTCCAGCTGCTGAGAATCATCCCTGGTCTTAGTACAAGGGCCGCCGGGTGCTACGATCTCCACGACTTAGACTCTGACGCCATGACTTTCATGATTTGAGGTCGCTAGGCTCATGCTGCTTTGAGAGTCCAAACCCTAAACCCTAAACCCTAAACCCCAACCCTAAACCCTAAACCCAAAACCCAAAACCCTAAAACCCCAAGGCCCAAACCCTAAACCCCAAACCCCAAAACCCTAAACCCTGAGAAGAGGGCGAGTTGTCCTGCATCTGGGAGCGATCCCCGATGATGCAGCGGCCCCTGGCATGTCTGCAGAGCGACTTAGGGCTTGGGGAAGAACGGTCTCGGGCTTTAGGGTTTAGGGTTTAGGGTTTAGGGTCTCCGAGCCTTCGGCCATGAGCATCCCAGCTCTTCATTCTTGGAAAACCCTGAACCCCAAACCCTAAAACCTTAAACCCTAAATCCTGAACCCTAAACCCTGAACCTAAACCCTGAGCCCTCGGGAACATGACTCAGCCGTCCCAACATCGAAGTCTGCAAGAGCGGTGTCAAGACAGCGCCAAACCTCAAAGCCTTATAAACCCTACTTTCGAACCCAAGTACTACGGGGGCCTAAGTAATTACCAATATTATTCTTTTGGGGATTCTTATCATGATGATAACATGATTTACCCTCAAGACCCCTATTCTAACTATCAAGGGCCCCCTGTCATACTACTTATGCGCACCTGGAGTAGCTTGGAAGTGTGGCGCACGAAGCCACGAAGCGGGGTCCGTTCTCGATGAGTAGGCCGATTCCCGGCCTCGGCTTCTCAATGGTTTCAGGATGGTTCTCATACTGTAGGGGCCTTAATAATTAGGATAGGGTTTTGGGGGCTCCTTACTAGAGTTATAGTACAAAATACCCCAAACCCCTATTCTAATCATTGTAGTATAACATACCTCAAACCCCTATTAAAATCATCAAGGCCCCTTTTTTGCCCCCTCAAGCTCTGACGGATGGAGCTGGGAAATCTGGCTAAACCCTAAACCCAACAGCTGCAGCCTGGCCTATAAACCCTAAACCCTAAACCCTAAACTCTAAACCCTAAACCCTAAACCCTAAACCCTAAACTCTAAACCCTAAACCCAAAACCCAAAACCCAAAATGGACCAAAAGAAGCATCGGCCCCCCACCCACGTAGGCTCCGCCGGCGGACGGCCCTCTGCTCCTCACCGTCTTCGAACCTGCTCATGATTGTTTGGGGGCTTAGGGGAGTGGGGTTTAGGGTTTAGGGTTTAGGGTTTAGGGTTTCGGGTTCAGGGTTCAGGGTTTAGGGTGTAGGGTTTAGGGTTTAGGGGTGCAGGGTTTAGGGATTCTTCGTGCCGTTGCCATCGCTGTTGCTAAACGCAGAAGATGCATCTCGACTGTTCCACACGTGTTTAGACAGTTTCTGATTCTACTCATAATGGATCTCGCTGATTGGCACTCTTCGGAAAACCAGTCTTTTGGGGATTCGAACGTTCCAAGGAGCAGTGTTTCTTTGCCGAGTGTCGGCTGCAGAGCCTGGGGTCTTCCTGGCTTCTTTCCGGCTCGGATGTTTTGGGGTTCGTTGTGGAGCCGGGACGGGATTCCTCCCAGGTAATGCAGCTGGATATGATGAGTACATGACAGTATGCTGCAGCATGACCCACGCATCGTGGCGCAGCCATTTCCGTGTCCCTCAGAAATGGCAAAGCTGCCAAATACGTCGTTCAAGAGAAGACGTAACTCTACGGGCCCTCACGGCGTCTGGCATCTGCGGGACGTATCAAGGGTAGAACCATCTTGTTGGTCATCATTACCATGTAACGAGATGATCGAGTCGCTGCAGTTCTTGCTGCTTCCCTGGGTTAGGTTAGGTAGGTTAGGTAGGTCGGTTGGTAGGTCGGTTGGTAGGTCGGTTGGTAGGTCGGTTGGTAGGTAGGTAGGTAGGTAG